CTGGTTTTGTAGGAAACATTTAACACAATGTTGGTGTTAAGTGCTGTTGAGTGGTTCTGACACAGCAACCCTGCCTAGGGTTTTCAAGAAGCAGCTCGTGGATTTGAACCACCAACCTTGAGGTTAGCAGTCCAGTGCTTATCCTACAGCACCACAACAAGACTCCAAAAGCCAAACCATTGGTGTTTAATCAATTCCAACTTCGAATGACCCTATAGCACCAAGAACTGCCCCCTTGGAATTATACATCTTTACAGCAGCAGACTGCCACATCTTTCTTCCAAGGAGTGGCTGGTGTGTTCAAACCACCAACCTTTTGGTTGGTAGTCCAGCACTTTACCACTGTACCATCAAGGCTTCCGAAGCAGAAATATCAAACTAATCAATCTCAGTCCTTCTGCTGCTGTGTTATTATTCTTTGCATAGGTAATGTCTCCCATGCCCTCTTCTAGTTAATAAACCTCAAAGGAATCTGCTGTAGACTGGAATTATGAGATCATTTATAAAGTTAGAAGTAGGTTTAGAAGGAAGAAAATCCCATGTGTTCCAAATACCAATAGAAAAGAAGAAAGAGAAGGGAAAAGGGTTAGGAAAGATGCCGGGAAGAAGTATCCTCTTTTCTCCATTCTAATGAGTGACAAATGTGACAATACACACTGAGAAAGACACCACCACTTGAAATAAGGACATGTAATTAATACTCAGGCTTCAGATACTTTTATAATGCATGGGATTCCAGGAGTGGGCGAGGACAAGAGACTTAATCCATCAGCTTTAGGCACCCCTAAACCTTGAATGGTTTTGACAAGGAATTTTAAGCAAATCGCTCATCTGCGTGTGAGACGTGCAGACTGATGAAGTCTAATGGAGGGTTTCTAAAGCCTGGAGGAAAAAAGCATCACTTTCTCTCAAAATCACAGTACAGAGCTAATGCCAACCAATCTCAGGGCCCTTCACAGAAGTTAAAAGCTCCGTCATTCTTCCCAGCTCTTGCACCCACCATCTTATACCTCTGGAGACTATTAAATGTGTGCTTGTGTGTACACACATACATACAGACACACATACATATAAAGCCAACCTGTATTTGCAGGATCAATTACAGTTTACAAAGTGTTCTATAAATACCATTAGCTTTCATCAAAAGAAAAAAAGGGTGTGGGGTTGTTTCTGCATCTGGCCTTGGCAAATCTCCAGATTTACAGGGCTGCTTTCCACACTACCAGCAAGTTTAAGAGAAATACTAGACCTGGGGAAGCCAAGTTTAGCAAACTATTTACAATACCATATCTGAAAGGGTTGGGTTAAGAAAATACAATGATCAGACCTGTAAACCTCCCTGCCCTTCTCTAGAATCCCGTTTTCTAGAAGGGAGAAAAAGACTTCTACTGAGGAAGGTCCCTCCAAACCCTCACTTTCAGCAGAGGAGATGAGCTGGTGGAAGTGTGTGGGGATCACCTTGCCAAGTACCACAACCACGATGACCAGGCAAGCAGGGTGCACCATAGGGTCCAGCTCTCTCCAACTCCAAGCAAGCAAGTCTGGGCGGGAACTCAGGTGATCACACCAGCAAGACCCGAGGTAAACGGTCAGATCTCTGCTTAGAAACGTGGCAGCAATGAAACTCAACAACATACCTCACGCTCAGGGGCCATTAAATGACTAAAAGCCACATCAAGTGGTTTGTGCTTCCGATCCAGCACTGCAAACAGGGAAGAGTTACCTTTAACACGGGTAGCGAAGTGGTTGTGAATCTGGCTACTAATCTCAGGGTCAGCAGTTCAAAACTACCTGCTGTTCCTCGGGAGAAAGATGAGGCTTTCTGCTCCCGTAAAGATTTACAGCCTCGGAAACCCTCTGTGCAGGGTCACTGTGAGTCGGGACGACTCCGGGCACAATAACAACAATCAAGCTACCAGATCTGGCATCTAGGAAAACGCCAGACACCAAACACCTCAATCTTATTCATCTGATTGGGTCAAAGGCAAACCTGCCTCCTTGTCAGATTTACCTGGAAAAGGCAACATTCGCCTTCTAATCATTCAGCTCGCACTTTTAGGAAGTGGCTCTTTACGTGGCTAGGAATGAAGTCCCAGATAAAACTTTCCAAAGCATTCACGGTGGATGACAGAAGGAATTGGGGGAGGTATTGTTGTTGTTGTTAAGTACCGTGGCTCGGTTCTGACTCATAGTGACCCTGCACAAGGTTTCTGAGGCTGTAAATCTTTACCGAAGCAGAAAGCCTCATCTTTCTCCCACGGAACGGCTGGTAGTTTTGAACTGCAGACTTTGAGGTTGGTAGTCCGATTCGTAATTACCAGTACGTTGGGGTACGTGTGTGCGTGCAAGCGCGCGAGTTTAAAACTCCGCCAACTATGCAGTCATGATTTGACCAACTCTCTCCAAAAACCGGGGCAAAGGATTAGTTCCAAGTGGGTCTCTCTCCAGTCACCCCAACACCGGTATCCCCATCCTTAAAGAAAGACACAGAGTGAAAGAAATCGAGAGAAGGATAGAAGAGACAGAGGGGCGTGGTAGAGATGGAAAAAAGGAAGAGATAAAGATCTATGAAGGAGAGGAGGCGCTGGCTGCAGTCATGACACCAGACTCGGTCCGAACCAGAGCCCGGAAAGGCGTAGCCTGGAGTAGGGAAGACTGTTGGTCATCTTTCCAAATTACCAAATCAACGGCTTTCGGCAGTATGCTGTGTTTCCCACCCCCAGCCACTCCGGATCGGTGTAGTCAGCCTCGATCGCCATTTCCGGGTTTCCTCTTTCGATTTCGGCAGAGAGCTGCCCCTCCCTGCGCACCGCCTCCCGCCCAGCCTCGAGACACCCACTGCCCAGCCAGCGGCCACAGCGCCGCCCACCGCCGAGCGAGGGTAGTCGCCGCGCAGCACCAGCCGCGTAGCCGCCCGCCGCACGCTCCTTTACGGCGCGCCCAGGGCGCCAGGCAATGAGACCCCCAGCCGCATCCACCGCCCATCGCTCCAACAACTGGGGAGAAGCAGCAGGGCGCCCGGCTCTCGGGACCCCGCGGACATAACCCTGGAAGCCGATGCTGGGTCCCGGCCCTGCTCAACGCGCGAGAGGGGAGTCCGCACAAAAGCGTCTCTTAGGCGCAGGCGACACAATGGCCCCTAGCTTTCCACGCGGCGCGCCTCTCCCCTGCAGCCCAGACCCCGTGCACCTCTATACTCACATCTGGGCAAAGAGGGGCGATGGTCGATAGGAATCCATATCTTCTGCACTCGGCTCTGAGTCAGCTCCAAGGGCATCTTCACAGCCTAGTCTCTGGCGGCCCTCCAACCCTCACGAAGTATTCAAATTTAGGGAAGAAAGCGGCCTGCTGACCTCAGAAAACAAAGAAGAGGGGATGTCTGCGCGGGAGTACAGTTCCCCGGCTCTCTCCCTTAAGGCTGCTTTTTCAAAAAGTGCTTTGTGTTATATTAACGCTGACGAAGTGTGTGATGCTCCCCACCACAAGCCGCAGCAAGAGGGGCGTGGATGTAGGGGCTGCACTGGTAGCGCCTGCGGGGTCGTAGATGTCTACTTTGTGAAGCTTAGGTGCTGGCCCGCCGGGAATGCACTGGACAGCGTGACAGCCGCAAGCTCCACCGGGTATGGCTGGGACGTGTGCCAATTGTAAGCCTGCTGTGTCTCGCTTCTTCAGTTCGTCTCCCTCTCAAGCTCTGCGAGGATGCCCAGCACACCACCGGTATTTTTAAGAGTTGAAGCCGGCAGGACGCACACGTCAACCTCGGGGCGGGGACACATTCTTTTGGTTCCAACCCCTTTTCACGTGGGGAGGGGGGGTTGGGGACCCAGGCGTTCCTTTGACGCCCCCTGCTGGTCTTTGGAAGCACCACTCCCTGCTCCTGCAACCCAGACCTGTCTGATCTCTTCCTGAAAGTAAGGTGGGACCACGTTCAACCTTGATTGACTACTTCTTTCCCCTTCTCCTATTATCCTCTAATTGACACAACTTCCTAGAATAATTCCAGACCGGCCCATGGACCTCCGTGCCCCCATAACGAGAATCCTTGTCAAAAATGCCTCGTACTGATTTCCGCCTCTGAGAGTGGGCCCCAGCCCTCTGCATTCTTAACAAGATCTCTGGGTCAGGCACAGTCAAGACTCAGGTTTAGGGATAAAAGTTCGAGCGCCGAAGGAGGGGTACTAAGGGCGAGTCTCTATTACCAGACAGAAGCTAGAGGGCAGAATACTGAGACCACCTGTGAGAAGGAGCTCTCTGCTTACAGCTGTCCCTGATAATAACGGAGTCCTCACCCACGGGCCACCAACAGGGAGACTTCCCTTGTCCTTCCTCCTCACCCCACTCACTTGCCTGAATCTCTTAGAAACTTCGACGTGGGCTGATCCTTGCTTTCCCCTACATTCAGTCCAAAGACCTGGACGTCAGGCCACAGTGGATTGCTTATAGTGCCTGGCATGATGGTTAGGCAGCAAAGCCTGAAGAAGCTGGATTGGAAAGCCCACATTTTGGTTTTCACATTCACCATTGGTATTATACCATACTTTTATGCACTGGATCACAAAGTCGGTTTGAACCACAAGGTCGGTGGTTCAAGCTCACCAGCTGCTCCTCGGAAACCCTATACAGGGTCACTATGGGTCTGAACAGACTCGATGGCACTTAATAATTGTAAATAAACCTTTCTCCTAGTAAAAGAGTAAATAAAATTAACCACCACTTCAACTTTTATCATTACCTGACTATACGTTCAGGAATAATTACTGGGAGGCGGGCACCTTGAATACAAAAGCCCCTAAAATTGGTGATCTTTATTAGCACAGCCCTAGAATTTTTCTCAACAGTTTTTGATGTGTGTGTGTGCTCACTTGCCCTTTGTAATTTTCTGTTCTTCTCAATTTTGCCTTGGTTTGTTACATCTGACAGTCCTGTAGTCAGATTAGTTTGTCCTCAAAGATCTGAGGTGCTTTTAGCGGGGCACTGCCACCTGCATGGTTGCATTACAGTCATATGAGGGCTCAGGAGCCATCATGTTAGCATGCTGTACATATATCAGAAAAGAAACACTGCCTGCAGAGAGATGCATATTTCAAGCTGAGGCTATGGCTGTGATTGGAAGGGGAAACAGCGGCACTCCCAGAAGCCTACACATCAATGGAAAAGTTATGTGCAGAGGCTGCCTCACGTCGCTCACGTCCCGCATGCGTCGGTTGGAAGGGCATGCGCACCCTGGCGGCAGCTTTACTGCAGCACCCCAACTGCGGAAAGGCGGGGACAGGGACAGCTGCTCAGCCCAGTTCTCCGCACCTCTGTGCTCCACACAGCATGTGAGTAGGGGAACCATGCCCGCATCGCCCCTCCCTAGAGTCCCTGCTCTCCAACAGTTTTGCTGACGAGTTTCGAGTGTTCAGGCAGCTGTTCAGAAACCTGAGTGCATTGCATTTGGACTTGTTATTTATTACGCAGTTGGAGCAAATCCCAGAGTTGACACCCTATAGTGTCCAAAGGGGAGTATCATCCCACTCTTGATATACGAGTGGGCAGACTCTAAGAGAAAAACAGCAGCAAATAAGCACCCGCACCACAAAGAAAACTTCCTGACCCTGGGATTGACAGGTCCAGTGAGAGAGAAGCTGTTTGTACTGAGGGCTCTTTACCCTTCACAGTTCAGCACTTGCCTCTCATATAATCTCCAGTGTACTTGCATTTGTTCTTTCCTGCAGGTATATTCTGCCCAAAGTCACAGGCAAAGCAAGCTAAGGAAATGACATTTCTTCCTCCCTCTAGACTAGTTTCTTCTTCCTTCTAGGCTAATTCCAATGGAGATAGAGAAAGGTCAACTCTTAGGACGAGAGACAGTTCATGTTCCTGGAGATCCGATTAAGCATTTGTATCACACCTGGCATTTTCTCTGCCTATATGTCAGTAATTCCCTAAGCGTTCATCTCTCCAGAGTAAAGACTAAATTATTCCTAGTCACTTGTGCAGCAGATGTGGGTGCAGGCAAATGGATACTAATGCAATGCCCTCTCCACTTCTGACATGTAAATGTTGGGAATACGTGGAAGATAAGGGGGAACTCACACTTACTGAAAATAATACAATAAGGCCAGTTAGACTTCCTTGCTATGTTTATAGTCATGAAATAAATTAATGTAGAATCCTAATGGGAAATATCATTGCAACACTACAAAACCATTTAAGCACAACCCAACTGCAACTGTATTCCAAGACTTACTGGTTCATAGTTTACTGGTTTAGACATCCTCTTAACTCTTTCTCTAGTTCTGATAATGGCCCCATCTTCACTTCAACTGTCACCCTGCCGCCCTTTCACCGACTCCTATTTCCAACCCACAGAGCACAGCCACAGTCCTACAGAAACCAGAGAATGGAAAAATGTCTCCCTTACAATTATTTTTATACCCATGACCCTCCAACAAGTGGCAATGGTCAATTTTTCTTAGCCTCTGTGATTTATGGTCTTAGATATTATCAGATATAACCTTTAAGAAAATCTAATCAACCCTTGTTTTATGAATGAATAAATGGAAGTTTCAAGATTAGAGATGTGAAGGACTGGGTCAAAGGTCAAGAAAGGAAGCCTGTTAAGGAAAGTTTTGGTTTCTCTACTTGATAAATACAGCAGATCTGCATCCAGAACAATTGAGCTCTCTGGCAAGAGCGAGCAGAGAAAGATTTTTTGTGTGTGTGGGTTAGAATGAGAAATAAGCAAAGCAATAACTTAAAATGCTACTCTAATATTTACCAAGCCCCTACAAAGAACCTGGTGAGGGCCATTACGGAGGTTGATTCATTCAGATCCTGCGTTAGAGAAAGATGTCACAAGTAATTTTTCTCCATGACCTTCTTTTCTACCTTTCCTAAATATTGCTATAACAATAAAAGTCAACTGCATTTCCATGATCTTGGGTCAGCTAGCCAAATTTAAACATTTAAACCATACTAAGAGTCCTGGTGTGGCACTGTATAATAAGCACTGGGCTACTGTCCTCAAGGTTGGAAGTTCAAACCTACCAGTCACTTCTCAAAAACCCTATACAGATCGCTATGAGTCAGAATTGATTCCATGGCCCTTAACAAGAATAATACATATGCAAAGGAGCCCGAGTGGCACAGTGGGTAAACTGAAAGGTTGAAAGTTCAAACCCTCCAGCTGCTCAAAGAGAAAAAGATATGGCCGCCTGCTTGAAAATGCATGTGGGTAGTTTAATTCTGTCCTGTCAGGTCACTGTGAGCTGGAATTGACTAAGAGTCAGTGTCTTTGGTTTGGTTTAATACCTGCTCCTCAGTGAGAACATAAGAGATAACAATCTAGGGCAGGCTGTGAGAAATCACAAGTTGCTAATTAGATATAAAGTGTCATATCTTACTTCCTTGTGTGAGATGAAGGAGCCCTGGTGGCACAATGGTTAAACTCTCGACTGCTAACCAAAAGGTTGGTGGTTTAAGTCCGTGAAGCAGTTCCATGGGAGAAACACCTATCTACTCCCATAAAGATTACAGGCTAGAAAACCCTACGGGCAAGTTCTACTCTGTCACATGAAGTCATTATGAGTCAGAATTGATTTGATGGCACTCAACAACAACATGAGAGGGTGATGTGAGACACCAGATGAAAGGCAATCCAAACCATCTCTCACCACCCACCCAAAGGGAAAGGGGAAGGTTGCTTGGTCTTGTATTTTCTTTGTGTGGTGAAAACATACATACCCAAATATCTGCCAACTCAGTTTCCACATTTACAACTCATTTACATTTCTTACATTTTTCATGTAGGACCACCATTGTTGTTATCCTCTTCTTCCAATACATCCCCCACCCACCACCACCATTTACATAAACTCAATACCCTCCAAACAAACCTCCCTTCCTCTCTTCCCCCAACCCTGGAAACTATTAATGACCTTTGGCTTTAACAGATTTGCTTGTTTCATATAAGTGAGATCATGAAATATTTGTCCTTTTGTGACCTACTTACTGTGCTCATCATGTTTTCATCCATGTTGTGGCATGCATCAGAACTTGTATATACTACATTTTCTCTGTCATCTAATGATGGACAGACATTTCAGGTGTTTCCACCTTTTGCCTATTGTGAAAAGTGCTGCAGTAACTATTGACATACAGGTTTCTGCTTGAGATCCTTCCTCCCTTCATATCTTCTGCATATATACCTAGAATTGGAATTGCTGGGGCATAGGGTCATATGGTAATTCTGAAGTCCTGGTGTGGTGCTGTGGGTTAATGTGTCAGACTGTGAGC